TCTATCTATCTATCTATCTATCTATCTATCTATCCTATCCCACTCCTACCTCTATCTATCTATCTATCTATCTATCTATCTATCTATCCCCATCCACCCCCTCTACTCTATCTATCTATCTATCTATCTATCTATCTATCTATCTATCTATCTATCCCCACACAACCTTCTCATCTATCTATCTATCTATCTATCTATCTATCTATCTATCCCCATCCACCCCGTCTATCTATCTATCTATCTATCTATCTATCCCCATCCACCCCTCTATCTATCTATCTATCTATCTATCTATCTATCTATCTATCTATCTATCTCGTTCAGGTGTCACACTCCACTGCCCATTACGTGGTATGTGAAGCTTTCCCTCGCTGGACGTCGTTGCCCATGTTAGAAAGTCGGAGTCTGGGTCACCATCCCCCTTCCCTCCGTCCATGTCCCGTGTGAGTGACCCCCTTCCCTGTCCCCCTCACCCAGCCTGCCACTTAGTTCCCGTCTCAGGGGGCTCCTTGCTCGCCCACCCCAGCTCTCCCCCTCTCTGGGGCTCGAGCTGGGGGGATTCGCGGGCTCTGGAGTTGGGGGTCAGGTGAGTCTGGGTGCCGGACTCCCCCAGATGGGGGGCAGCACGTCCGGCGTTTGGATCAGGAGCCCAGCACGGGACACAAGCAGGGATGGTGCCCCGTGGGGGACGGGAATGAGAAACGACACAGCTACCCTCTGTCCCCTTCCCATCAGATGGTAGATTAGGATGGGGGGGCTGGGAGCCAGGACTCCTGGGTTCTGTCCCCAGCTCTGGGAGGGGAGTGGGGTCTAGTGGGTCAGAGCAGGGGGGCTGGGAGCCAGGACTCCTGGGTGCTATTCCAGCTCTGGGAGGGGAGTGGATCTAGTGGATTTTGAGCAGGATGGGGGAGCTGATAGTCCAAACTCTTAAGTTCTCTTAAATTGAGCAGGATGGGGGAGCTGTTGGCTCTAACCACTAGACTGACCTCCCCTCCCGAGTTAGGAATAGAACCCAGGAGTCCTGACTCCCAGTCCTTATAGCAGTGGAGCGTCCCTGACCCGACTATCTGGCAGTGAAATATAATGGAAAGCCCCAGTGTTTATGTTGCCATTATTAGGTTTCAGGATTAACACGTCACCCCAGAGGCATGTGGCAGGTCTGGTCTCTCACTTGGGCCTGGGAATCCCTCCAACTCTTGCGGTCTGGGTCGAGTGGCTCCTCCTTTTAGGCTGGGGCGGGGCTTTATATATGTGGGGGTGGGCTTGCTCCAGCCCATCCCTGGCGATTCAATAGGTGGGCCTGGGGGTGAGGCAAAATCCTAATGGTTTGCCTTTCTGCTGTTAGGACTACAATTCCCACAATGCCCTGTTGCAGAAGCTATAGTACCCATGGTGCTTTGCAAAGGAAGAGGCAGATAAAATGTTCAGCCACCCATTCCCTTCATGTACACTCAGCCTACCCTGCTTGGGTGGGGGCTGGGAGCCAGGACTCCTGGGTTCCATCTCCAGCTCTGGGAGGGGAGTGGGGTCTAGTGGTTACAGCAGGGGGGCCTGAGAGCCAGGACTCCTGGGTTCCATCTCCAGCTTGGGGAAGAGAGTGGGGATTTCTCTTTCAACTGAGACTGAAATCAGTATTTAGTGTCTGGAAGGCAGTAATGCCAGGGAGCCAGGACTCCTGGGTTCTCTCCCCAGCTCTGGGAGGGGAGTGGGCTCTAGTGGTTAGAGAGAGTGAGCGGGTATCAAACTGGGCTATCTGGGGTATTCTGCCCCCTTTCTGGTTTCCAAAGATCACATGGCAGGTGAATGTTGAGGGGATTTATATGACTGGGTCTTTCCGGGGGAGCTAGATTCTCAGCTCAGCACCCCTGGGGGCCAACCGGGAGTCACCCCTGGGCTGCAATGGGGTCACGGCCAGCTAATCTCAGCTCCCCCGGTGTAAATCTTGAGCCACCCCCTGGAAAATTGCATGGTAGTTAATGGACTCACTCTGGATTCACACCCGTTTACTTGTAATCCGGGCTGTCACACCACCTCAGATATCTGCACATGTTGGAGGGGAGGGGGCATGAGCGGATTTAGTTCCTTTCCAATACGTCCAGCCTTAAGCAGCCAGAAATTTCCCTGTGGGGGCCAAAACAGCTGGCAAGACATTGCTCACGGCTCTGAAATAATGGGTGGGCTATTTGGAGCTTGCAGGGGGTGATCACGACACCCGTCCACGCTCCTGTGAGTTTGGACTCCGTTGTGTCCGGCTAGCATGTCTGGGTGCAGGGGCTGGGCGGGGAATATCTTTTTATCTCCGCGGTGGACTGAAATTCCACCAGCTC